TTTATTACAGCAGTGCCTATCCTAAAACACAGCTGGTACATGACAAATTATTTTTGTAAAGAAATATTTGTTGTTATTCACTTTACTCACTGAATCAAAACAATATTTTAAATCAAACTAATAAATTAGAAGATCAGTATAAATTTATGCAGTTCATCATAGTCTTTTCCAAATCAGAATTAAAACTCAGAACTGCAAACATAATAAACCATGCATTCTGGAGCATACCAGGATATGCTCCTATATGCACCTGCACTTCTTTAATATCAGCCCTGGGTCCTACATGACAAAGACAACCTAGCTGAGTTAGAGGAAGCAACTAATGCATTTGCCAATTTAAAGCTAAACTGTGTCCCATTCTTAAAATAGTTATGTGTATTTAATGAGAAATAATGAATCTGAAATATATTCTAAAAATTTAGGCAATATTGTCCTCAACTGCATCTCCATAAACACCTTTTCCTGATTTTTTAAATGTAGTGTTTTTCTTTTGCTTCACCAGCACTATATGAATACTTCCTATTCTTATGCTATTTCTCTCCATATCTGTGGATATTCCAGTTTCTGGTCTACCTTGCCATAAATGGAATAAATTTTCTCTAGTCTTTATTAGATTTTGAAGGGTCATTCCTTGCTTCATGTCCCTACCTTCTAAAAAATGACCCATAAATGCAGACTAAATGACTTTAATTTTATTTGAGAAAAGGGCAAGAAGAACATGGTCTTAACAAATCCAAGGTTTTAGATTTATGAGTAAGCATTAGTTTTGCTGATGCTTCTGAATTATAAAAGAGAAGCACAATTCTCTCTACAACAGCAAATGGCAAACAAAGTCGTAAACACTTCTCTACATTTTCATTCCCAATTCCATTGGCTTGACTAATATTACTGCTTAATACTTTCATATTGATTGCAAGAGCATTATTTTGACTGCATTGAAAACACCACAGGAAGCGAATTGGGTAAACATGCCATGGGTGTTATTAGTACTGTTTTTGTGAACACCGTTGAGTTCAAATGGGGAACGGGACATGCCTGAAAATCATTTGCTAGGATTATCACCAATGTTGGTGTCCACTTTCTGCATCCTGCACAGGCCATGTGATTTGGGGGTCACTGTGAGGAAATGAACATTTTTAAAATTATTCTGATAGCAGGGCTGGTGCTGTGGCATAGTAGGTTTAACATCTGCCTGCAGCACCAGCATCCCATATGGGCACTGGTTCAAGTCTCAGCTACTCCACTTCTCATCCAGCTTCCTGTTAGTGGCCTGGGAAAGCAGTAGAAGATGGCCTAAATCCTTGGGCCCCTGCACCCATGTAGGAGACCCAGAAGAAGTTCCTGGCTCCTGACTTCTGATTGACCCAACTCCCACCACTGCAACCCTTTGGGGAGTGAACAGCAGATAGAAGATCTCTCTCTCTCTCTCTTCCTCTCCCTCTCTCTCTGTAACTCTGAATCTCAAGGAAATAAATAAAAGTTTTAAAAAAGAGAGAAATAGAGTTGTTAAAAATTATTTTGATACCTAGAAATTCGTTTGTAACATTCACATGAGGGGTTTATACACAGAGCTTGTTTTTACCCCAAGATTATGGATTTCTCTGATTAGTTTCTTGGAATGCACAACAGCTCAGTCGGTAGACAATGGGGTTTCACAGGGAAGAGAATTCAAGTGATTAAACAACAAAAAATGACAAGAGAGAGATAATATCCTTCAGTCTAAAAAAAAGTTAACCTTGTGGTGAAGTGAATTATGACTGAGAAAAGAGTTTCCAAAATCAAAACTACTAACATGCCTTCTCCCTCCAAAACCTAACAGCATCATTTTCAAAGAGTTAATGGTCACAGAAACTGAAATGCAAGATGTCACCAATGTTGACCTTTATTACTGCATTATCACTAACAGTTGGAAATATTTAAATTCTGCCTCCTTAAAGGGTGAACACTCACTGGTCCTTTATGATAGCAATTCAATTGTCCCTCTGTGTTTCACTTGGGCCATGACAAAATTCTCATGTTGCCAGGTTTGTCAAGAAATATCTCTAAAGGATAACAGCAAGACATGAAAGCATTTATGAGAAAGGAAAGTAATGGGCGAACAATCCTGCTGATTCAAGTCCACACAACAGCAAAATGAAACATTCGACAAATACAAAGGTAAGTAGCAAGGTCTACTGTGCTTTGAATGTGGTTGTGCTATATTATCCAACATAGTTTTTATTCACTATTGTCAACTCTGGGAATACAAGCTCATATTTCACGCCCATGTGTTTACATGGAGGCCCCACACGCAGCCCCTACCTGAGAACTGAGATAACAAAGTTAGGACCTTTAAGTACTTTTTAGATCCATGTGAATGCATATATTAATTGCAAGGAGTGCTTCAGCCTCAGATGTTTTTTGCCTTCCTTTTATATATTTGACACAGATTGTCCCGGGCCTAATGGGCTTCAAAATCCTGCAATTAAGATCCCTTCTGCATGCCTTTGTCCTCCCATATCATGTAGTGTGGAAGTCGCATCTCTACAACACCTTTCCTCCACTTCCTTCTTAATTACAATCATCCTGCTCACTGTGTTTCCATTAATGAAGCAAGAAAGATTACAGTTGGAGGAACTTTGGAAATAGAAAATCCACAAGAAGTGCTATTTTTAATGAAAGAAATACTGAGGAGATGAAAATTTCATTAGAAGTGTGAAAGTGAAAGAAAATAGGTGAAAATCCTGCAATTCTACAAAATTTTTGCTTACATATTGGCCCCTGAGGACCACAGAACTCTAGCTAACAGTAAAGAGGATTAGGAAAGGAGGTGGGATGGAAAGATAATCAAAGTTTGAAAGAGTAATTAAGAGCTTTCCTTATAAGTTCTGATTCTCCAAATTCAGAGAATAGTCACATCACTAAGCAGAAGTGTATAATTTACTTCTTGCTAAAAGTGAAATTAGAGAAGGAAGAAGAGTTAACCATTAAATTTAAAAGTAACTCTAGGGTCGGTGCTGTGACATAGCAGGTAAAGCAGCCATCTGCAATGCCAGCATTTGATATGTGCGCTGGTTCAAGTCCCAGCTACTCCACTTCCAAACCAGGTCCCTGCTAATATGCCTGGGAAAGCAGCGGAGGGTGGCTCAAGGGCTTTGGTCCTTGTACTCATAGGTGACCTGGAAGAAGCTCCTGGCTCCTGGCTTTGGATCTGCCCAGCTCCAGTCTTTGTGGCCATTTGGGGAGTAAACCAGCAGATGGAAGATCTCTCTCTCTCTCTTTCTCTCCCCCCCCCCTTTTTCCTTTCTCTCTCTGTAACTATATTTTTCAAATAAATAAATAAATCTTTAAAAATAAATAACTCTAGCCCTATAAATGTGGTCCTTTAACTTCAGTTGTTGAAGCACAAGGCTAAGAATTCTGTAAATACTGTTACATCTGGTGCACTATCCAAGGCCATGGTCATAGATGCCTACAACTCATAGAGGCCATATCATAAAAAAAAAAAAAATAAGTAGTGCTGCCTAGCATGAAAAACCTTTCAAAATAAAATGAATTTATTACCATAACAGGAGAGATTGTGTCTTGTCTTACTAACTCAAGTGCACAGCACCAATGTGTGCTTGCACTTGGGAAGTCCAAGGAAACATTCCCACATCCACCCCTTCTGTAAGATGTACTGCTTATATTATCCAGTGTGGCAGGGATACGCCATATATTTCTCCAATGTTTATTTTAGTTTTCACCTACTTGAAAGGAAGAATGGGAGTGGTATAGGTAGGAAGAGAGACAGAGACAGAGAGAGATCAAGGTCTTCCATCCACCGGTTCACTCCTCAAATTTCTGCTGTCAGGGCTGAGTCAGGCTGAAGCCAGGAGAATGGTTTTACATCCAGGTATCCTACAAGCACCTGAGCTATCATTTACTACCTCCCTCCCCTGGATGCAACAGCAAGAAGCTGGAGCAGCAGCAGAGTAGCAGGAATTTGAACTTGCATTCCAATATGGCTGCAGGTATCCCATGTGGCAGTTTAATCGGCTGCACCACAATGTCTGGCCCCGAATGCTTTCAGAGTAGATGTATTATTATCCACACTTGGTTTTTCTTTTTCTTTTCTTTTCTTTTTTTTTTTTTTTTTTTGACAGGCAGAGTGGACAGTGAGAGACAGAGAGAAAGGGGTTCACCCTCCAATGGCCACCGTGGCCAGCGCACTGCGCTGATCTGAAGGCAGGAGCCAGGTGCTTCTCCTGGTCTCCCATGGGGTGCAGGGCCCAAGCACTTGGGCCATCCTCCACTGCACTCCCTGGCCACAGCAGAGAGCTGGCCTGGAAGAGGGGCAACCAGGACAGAATCCGGCGCCCCAACCGGGACTAGAACCCAGCGTGCCGGCGCCACAAGGCGGAGGATTAGCCTAGTGAGCCACGGCGCCGACTCACACGGTTTTTCAATCATAAATCTGAGAAAGTACCCCAGTCCCCACACATTGTCACCACCCAAAATCTTTTCAACAAATGGACTCATGCTGAGGTGTCTACATAATGAAGCTTAACATGGGAAAAACTATAGCTTTCCCTGCCTGCTCTTTCCTCAGCTAAACTAATATTTGGCAATAAGACTGGATCCTTGAAATGTGAAAGTTTATGTCTATAGGAATTCCACAATCATGAATTCAAAGAAAAAAAATCACACTCATTGAGGTTAAAAAAAGGTACTATTCCTTCATTACTAACTGATTCACTCCAGCATGTCTGCCCCTTAGCTTGTAACATTACTCTATGCTGCACACGTTAGGAACACATATTCATTTAACTTTCACAATGAGCCTTTGGAGAAATGTTTTTGTAATGACCACTATTTTCATTTTCCCAAGCTGTTATAACCAGAATTTATGGGTGGCTTGCAAACAGTAGACAAAACAAGTATTAAATCTGTGAACGCTGAGGGTCCATTGTATCAAGAAGAATCACAGGAGATGTTACTGGAAATGACTTCCCTTCCCACCTGCCTTCCTGGCTGCCTACCTTCCTTGGCCCTCTGTGCAGCAGCTGCTGGTATGCTCTGGGCACAATACACCTCCCGCGTCTGGATGCCCCCGCCGCAAACAGGTCCTGTCACAGGCCAGTGAGGGTCCTGCTGCTCGAGGAGGAGAGAGACTTGGCATTCTTTCCATTCAGAGGTTCTCCAGGAATACCTGTTTGGTTTGATGTGTTCAAAAGAAGAAGAAGAAGTAAGGAAAATATACAATTGTAAAGACACCTTAAGTTACGACATCAAGTGTGTGTGTGATAATCTCTCATTCTAGGTCCAAATCTGCCTGTGGAGAAAGAAGTCTACTGGCTGGGCGTCATGAAATCCCTGTTCTTTCCTGGAGAGAACCACAGCAGTCCATCACGGTAACACATGGCAGACGAAGAGGAGAATGAAGGGCGATAACATGCATAAAGAGTGGGTGTGTTCCAGCTTTGAAACTAGAAGAAAACGAAGAATTAGGAAGAAGCTGGAAACCCACTGAGCCTAAATCTCATCAGCTGAAGTTTTCAAGCACTTCCAGATGACTGGGTCAAAGTTGGCCTTTCTTTTTTATTTAGTAGCATATTATGTGACTGTGTGAAGATGCGGATAGACTAACTTAGCAGAGATGAATTCAAACATTTCAATCTTCTTAATATAGGAAACTAGTATTCATTTTAGCCTCCTGCCATCTGGATAAAGGGTTTCATATTAAAAGCGAGTTAACACGATGCCTCTTCACTTCACTGAGAATTGCTTTTGAACATATGCAGCTATGGTTTATTTAAACTGATTTAAAAATACATATCCTTGGTTTACAAGTGGTTAAGAAACATTCTAATATAAACATACATACAAGGGAGAAAAACACATGGAGTTTGTATAAAATGTATAGAAAATAAAAGAACTATTACACCTTCACATTTGTACCTGGAGAATAATTTCAGAGACAGAGATTCCTGTTGTGAATTATTTCAGCTTTCCTAAAGCCCACGGTATAAATACACCCCTACAGCATTCACATAAATACCAACAAACTCAATGGCTTCTGGAACACTAAACACAACCCAAGAATATTCTCATCTCGGCTGCCCCATTTTGGCTTTGATAAAAAAGTTGCACAATTTTGTGATTGAAAAAAGGGGGAAAAATAAGCAACCAATAAAAACAGTCATAGTGTTGGGGTGCAATAGTTTAAAATGTCACTTGTAAAGTCAGAATCCCATATCGAAATGCTGGATCAAGTCCCACCTGTGCTTGTTTAAGTCCTGACTGCTTGTCTTCCAATCTAGTTCCTTGCTAATGTGCCTTGGAAAGCAGCAGCAGATGGCCTGAGTGCTTGGGTGAATACCACCCATGTGAGAGACCCGGAGTTCCAGGCTCCTGGCTTCAGCCTGGCCCAGCCTCAGGCATTGTGCTCATTTAGAGAACAAGTCAGAAGGTGGAAGATATCTTTTTTGCTCTGCCTCTTCCCCTGCCTCTCTTTCTGTCACTCTGCTTTTCAAAGAAATAAATCTTTTAAAAAATCATAGGTCTCCAGGTCCCTGGCCTTACAAACACTAGGGCAAAATTCAATTAAATTTATAGACATGAAAATAAGGAAGCAAATCTCAACCGTTGCAGCCATTTGGGGAGTAAACATGAGGTTAGAAGACCTTTCTCTCTGTCTCTCCCTCTGTCTGTAACTCCACCTCTCAAATAAATAAATCTTAGAAACCTAATAGTGACCAAATCCTCACAATGAATATCATCCTATAAAGGTTAAAAGCAGAGACTCATTGGTCTGCAGAAAGCCCTCAGGGGAAAAGCATTGGGACAATTCTTTGGGGTTTGTTGTATCACAATTTTTCTCCATCTGCTTCCTTGCTTCATTTCCACCTGTTTCCCCAGGTTTCAGGATTAGACTGTGGCCAGACAAGCATGTCCAGTGCAGAATGGAGGCCCCACCCAAGCCAGGGGAATACCAAAATAAAATGTGTCTAATACCTGTGTGTGAGAGATGGAGAGAAGGTGAGTTCTCCCCAGAGATAGCCCACTCCCCTCACCCAGGGGCTGCATCCTGTTCTCCATGGACACTTAAGCTGTGGGCTAGTCCTCCTTATCTCAAGTAGTTCCTCAGTCCAGGGCAAAATACGATGAGGTTGGGGTGTGTTGGGATGCATCCTTACCAAACTCTTATTTTCAACCCCTCTTTTTCCAAAAGTCACCTAAAAGAAGTACCCTCTGGCTATTAAGGAGGGGTCAGATACAGCAGTTTTCTTTGAGGCTACTTTGATAGATATAACCAAGAAGATAGGAGGCAGAAAGAGGTAACGTGTTGTAGATGACACACCTGCTTTGTAGTTGAACAGACCAGGCTTCAATCTGAGCCTTTGCCATTTTCTGGTCAAACGACTTTGATCCAGTTCTGTTTTTCCAGTTGTAAAATGAGGATGATAACACCAAACTTTGAACCTGACACAAACTGGGTATTCAGTAAAAGTTTATTTCATCTTGTATCCTTCTACGTGTGTCTATTGCCACTGTCTGGTCAGAAAACACACACACACACAAACACACACATACACACACACAACATCAACATTCTATTTATGAGGACTTCAATGATTTCATTGAAAGTCCTACTGAAAAGATTTAGGATTGCCACCATCTAAGTTCCATCTAAAACCATGCTAGTTTCTCATTAACTGAAAGCACCCAACTCCCATTCACTGGCAAGTGACAATTTCTCTAAAGAAATAGAAGGCATTTGTCACTATCACTATTGTTTACCACCTCAGAGAAAATACCAACCCAGCAAGAGATGGCGGCAAAAAGTGCCTCTTAAAGAATGCTGGATTCCTTTTTTAAGTTTGGCTTTTTTCGTAGTCTTCACTCTGCTTTAACCTTTTTTTTTCTGAAGTCCTATCTATGTGTAGTCACAAATCACCTGGCAGCTTTGAAAACGGAACACCCTGAACTCTACCAACCTGAGAAAGTATTTCCAGGATCTGACAGAATAAGAAATCAAAGGAGTCTGCTAGGCTAAACGTTACTCCCTTTCTCCTTTAGAAGCTGTTACTGCGCTCGTCCTCCTGCCTCCATTAAACGTGCTGCCTGATGCCTGGGACACTCGCTTTCATGGTCAAACCTGTGTCACAGTCCAGGTCTTCTCAACCCCTTCACTACCAACTCCAGTACCTTTCAACACCTCCTCATTTTGTCCTCCTGCTTAGTAGAGAAATACAGGAACTCTCCAGGGCAGACTTCTACCTTGCATGGGTGAGCACACTATCAAATTGGCTGTGGAAATGCCTCTAGTCCTGTTAGATGGACATGGGATGAAAGAATTAAGTCGATCGTCACAGCCGTTAGTGTGTCGGATCAATTTGCTGTTTACAAAAGCATAGGTGAACAGAATGGATAAGTCATTAATTCATTTAGGCTACCGGGGAATCATGAGAGATCCCCAAGTCATAAAATCAACAGCCAACAGTTCTGCCTGCTTATTCTGTGACAGGCTATACTTGATGTATACATGATAAACTATTCAGTAGCTTATACGATGCTACTGAATTGAGGTGCATTATGTCATACAATCCTCTCAGCAATCTTGTGAAGAAAATATTATTTTTCCCTTTTACATAAGGGAGAACTGACTTTAAAAAGTAGCTCCTCCAAGGTCACATAAGTAAATGAGAGACTAGGATTCAAAGTCAGGCTTATCTGATTCTAAAGCAGCTTTCCCAAGAAAATGACATTCTGGTAGATTAAACCAGTGAATGGCAAACCCATGAACTTCCATCAGCTTCAGAAAACAATAGGAAGCTACAAGCCTTGGCCTTACAAGGATATATAAGTGTTGGTCTAGGGCAGAGGCTAAAACAAAAGAATATCCTCTGTTGGCGCTCAGTGACCAGTAACATTTAATACCACCACCTAGCCTCAAACACAGTTGGAGAACATTTGTTAGCCAAACACTTGATAATTAGAGCACTATAGTCACATAGAAGGAAATCTTAGCCATTTCATGACGTTACTTCAATTCAAAAAGAGAAGTAAAGTTCTTTCATAAGCCAAGTTAAGGAATCTATAATTGTAAAAATTGAAATTCCCACGAATATATTCAGATGACAACTTTTTGAACAGAGATGGATTTCTAAGTCTCTGAAATCAAATTCTACATACAGTTCCCTGGAAATTCTGAACATTAGGTGATGGATTCATCCTTTCACATAAAAACAACGCAAATGACCCCACCATGGGAGAAAGCCTCCTGTCAGCCACTCTGAAATCACCAAGCACTCAGAAGGGAAAGGTAAATAGCAAACACTGAGTCCACAGAAAAGGCAGCCCTAGAAGATCTTCAGCTTAGTTGAGACAAAGAATGTATGAAAGACTCAAGGCAGAAACCAGTCAGCCAGTAGGCTCTACTGAATAAAGCAATAAGGCTGTCCAAACAGTAAGTGAATCACTTCCTCATCCACACCCTCACTCATTGTTTTCAAGAAGTCATTCATGAGCTCCAACTATGTGCCAAGGATAATTTCATACAATAGAGGGACATAGCAGTGAACAAGACAAAGTGCTTGACCTGGGGAATATTACATTCTAGTGTGACAGACAGACAGACATAAGTGCACCAATACATAGCAAGGCATCAAACAACCTGTGGAGGAGAGAGATGGATGAGGAGAGCTATTTCAGTGTCATGACCAAGGAAGTTCTCAAAGTCCTGAATGAAATGCGGGAGTGAGCACAAGACCAGCTGGCCAGAAAGGGTTCTAGGCAGAGCGATGAGCATGGGGAAGAGCCCCGGAAGGGAGAGGGCTTGCCTCTTTCCAGGAACAGCACAGAAGACAATGTGGTTCTGGCAAGTGGGCAGGGTGGAGTGGTAGGAATGGAGGCATACTCAAGAGTGGAGCTATACAGTGAGCCTTGTAAGCCCGAGTAAGGAGCATTATTCCACAGGTACTGCAAATCACTGCAAAATGCTGGGAACAGCAGTAAGATGACAAGATTGACATTTTTACAGGATCACCCTGGCTACTGAGTATAAAAACAGACTGGGAAAAAAGAGCAAGACCAGTTTGGAGGCCTTTGCCAGTCTAGGATATGATGGTGGATTCACTTGACCTGATCATAGGCAATGTGGTGAGAAGTTACAGATCCAGTATGCATTTGAAGATGGAAACAATCTTC